CCTTCTGTACAACCTTTGCTGAAGCAATCTTGAAGGATGAGCCTTCTGCTAATCAACAGAGAGGCAACCTGGCCTCTGCCTAGGCACAGTCCGTTCCCCACAGTCAATTCCCTCTTGGGGTTCCCACAAGCATCAGAAAATTCACCCTCTTCTGGCAAGTCCCTGCAAATACTGAGTCAGAAAGTTATATTTGGGCTTTTCTTCAGCTTTCTTTCTTGTGGTGTTAATGTTCATACATTTTCTCCCTTAGAGATTCCAAATTTTCCTCTAAATTACTCCATTCAGTTAGGCAAATTTTTATGCTGGATCTTTTTTTTTTTTTTGGTACCCAGGATTGAACTCAGGGGCACTTAACCACTTAACCACTGAGATACATCTCCAGCCCTTTTCATTTTTGTTTTGAAATAGGGTCTCACTAGTTGCTTAAGGCCTTAATAAGTTGTTGAGGCTGGTTTTGAGCTTGCCATTCTTGCTTCAGCCTCCTGAGTAGCTGGGATTACAGGTGTATGCCACTGCACACCACACTGGATTTTTTAAATATACTTTCAATTTTTTTTTTTTTTTTTTTTTGGTGGTGCTGGGGATTGAACCCAGGGCCTTGTGCATGCGAGGCAAGCACTCTACCAACTGAGCTATATCCCCAGCCCTACTTCTAATTTTTTATTGACACATAATAATTGTCCATATTCATGGGGTGTGACATTTTAATACATGTATAAAATGTATAATGATCAGATCAAGGTCTGAATCTTTTCTAAAGCTGCTGATGTGATGCTCTGGTGTTGAGATAACTAAGCCTTATCTGAGAAGGGTCAAGCATTTATAGGGTGAGATAGAAAGATGCTTATATCATGAAATGAATTGAGAATTGGAAAAAGAATAAAACCACAGGAAGGAGTAACTTGCTATGCAGACAATAAGGGTGCTTCAGACCTTGTCTGTTCCTCTCTTGCCCAAGGGCAGTGGCCTTTCTGCTTTCCTGCCAACTCAGAATCYCTGGATGAGCCCCTTTAACTCCTTCAGGCTTTCAGGAAAGTTCTGCCTACCCATTAAAACTAATAAGAGGCTCATAGTGAGCTTTGAGTACTGGCACAAAATGTCTTTTAGTATATATTATTAATAGATTTTTYYWAAWT